TCTAAGTTTAAAAATTTAAGTAAAATGTGTTTTCTATGTATAACATAGGTGTCGTGGAAGTAAATTCGCGCTCATTTATTTCAAATATGTATCAAAATTTTCAATGAAGATTGAGCACTAGTGTAGTGGATTAGTGTGATTGCGTTAATAAAAATTATGAATGTATAACGTATAGGTTTCTTTCATTACTACTATTATAAAATTTATAAAATTGCATAATTAAATGTATAAACTTAAGTATTTAAAGATAATGGTTATAAGAAAACCAAATAATGATAAATGTAAATTAACGGTTAAACGGTATACTACACGGTTGTGTTGTGTCAAATGATTGTTCGATATTATATAGTAGTTTTTATTACATGTTTAACAGAATGTTACCATTGGGAATATATGAATTAACACATCCTGAATCACTGTCAGAATTTGAACTAAAAGAAATTTTAGAAAATGTAAGTGAAATAGGTTATGTTTATTGACAATTATTTACGTCTTAATGATATAATTCTAAATATTCTAAATAAGTCTACTATCAATACAAGAAATTTCTGTCGTATTTTGTATTATGGGAAATATTAAACTTCGATAGTTATTAATTAAATATTTTACAATTTGATTGAAAAATAAAATTCTTAAAATATTTTTTATATTATTTTGTATTAATATTTGTTACATTTCTTTTTTATCGTTTATGTATTTATAAAAAATACTTATTGCTAATGTATATCATAGTTATTTACATATCATCTTATGTTTATAGAGATGTATTGACTTCAGTAATTACAAAAATTTATCTAAACTTGAATTAATAGAATTATATAAGAGGGTGGCATTACCATTACCTCAAAGACAATCTAAAAGTTCCCAAAACTTAGATACAGAGAGGCAAAATGAGGCAACAAGTTCTACTAATGAATTTTACCGAAATTCAATTTCTTCGTAAGTGAAAACATTTATTTTTGTTCATTATGAAATAAAGATATTAAAAATTTCGATAAGTAACATTTGATTCTTCTAAGCAAGTTGTTGATACTTTCAATAATAATAAGTATTTAATAAGAAGTGATATTTAACATAAAGTATAATCAGTGATATACTTGATATGCTTTATTTCATATGAATTCATATGCATACATTTGTTTGATTTTCATATTATTTAGTAATTTGCTC